TAAACGTCCTAAGTTCTTTTGAAATGATAATTTCTTTAAAAAAAAGCAAAGCAAAACCAAAAGCAGTTTACAGAGAATGTACATACAGGAATCAAACTAATTCCAAATCTTTATTAGTCTTGTAGAGGAAGACCAACCAGATCCATATTTCAAGAGCTTTGCAAACTAGTAGGGTGCCTCCAGCAGCTGCTTCTACCAGTGCTGGTTAGGAAATCAGGTAGGACTAGTCCTTTGAAAGGAAAAGCAAGCCAATGTTCACCCCCGCCTTCCCAAGGTTGCACACTCAAGTCATTGTTCCGGATACTGTGGGCCTGGCACATGTTCCCGGTCACAGGTCAGAGGTCAACCTCCAGGGTGTTTCCAAAGCCGGCCACTTCAAGAGCTCAAGCCTTCAACACTTATCCAAACTGATTAACTACATGATCAACAGTAGCCAAGGAAATGAAGCGGGCTTCACCTTTCTCGCCACTGGGAACGAAGGGCCAGACCCCGAAGGAGGACTGGGTTGAAAGAGTGTATGTGTTGCGGGGGCGGGGGCTGTTTTAGAGGAATCCTACTTAGTTCTCTTAAAGGCTCAGAGTGTTCCCTTAAGGAAAACTCCTTAAGTGGAAGGTTCGATTATGAAAGGCCGCTAGACCTTTACCCGCAGATCGGGTTAACTCCCTCTTCTCTCCGCGGACACGGGAGAAAGTGGTGCTGAGTCCCCCCAGGGCAAGACCTGGACTGGCAAAACCAGTGTCAGCCTCTTGCCTCCTAGGCATTTCCAGCCCGAGACAAAACGAGGAGAGGTGGTGGCCGATATAGGAAAAGCCACATTTCTGTAAGGCGCGTAAGGGGCATTTCCTCCGGCTCTTCTGCTCTCCTCTTTCTTTCAGTGCCACTGCCGCTCTACCCTCTACCGCAACCGGCTGGTTTATTGTCTGCCATCCTGTAAGAGGCGTCTTTGGAGATCAGCACTAGGCACGCCTGCTCCAGCGCCAGTGTGAGAAAAGCCGTGCTCAAAAATTCCCAATCATCTGGCCTGGGAGAAGAGAATATCATTCCAACGTCCCCCCCCCCGTTCCCCACCCCCCACGCCTTCAGCTATAGGGACATGGATAGCTTACCTGCAAACAGACTCCAGTGAAGGAATTGGTGCCAACCCGTAACCCACGTGCCCGAGAAAGGTCAAAACCCGTGGATATGTGTGGATGCGTGCGTGTGTGTGTGTGTGTGTGTGTGAGAGAGAGAGAGAGAGAGGCTTCCTAAATTCAGGTGTGCACATACCGACTTCCTAGAAGTGAAAAATCGCTCCCCCTGCTTGGTCTGCCTGAAGCTGATTGGAATCCGTGTTTCCCAGGTTCCCCCACCTCCCATCCTTTCCCCCCATCTTAGTCACTTACCCCACTCCACCTGTTGAAGGCGAGATCCCTTCATTTCTGTCTACCAAGCCCGAACTGACAACAAATAAGAGAATGTAATAATAAAAGAGTGAAAAACAGAGGGAGATGAGAAGAGAGGCTGGGGCGGGGAGAGAATTAGGACGGTGGGCAGCGGCTGGATGAAACCAGAACTCCTCTTGGGCGCCTCATCAGAACCTTCATCCTTCATTTCTTCTTTTCTTGCTTTCTGGAAGTAGTTGGGAACACATGATGAAATAGAAATAAAACGTCGGGACGGTATTTTAATGGCTTATGTGTCACGTTGGTGCATGTGGCTTTGAACTGGAGCAGCTCTCGTTTCCTGCAGAGAACATGCCACAAATCCCACTTTTGATCACTTCTACAACCCACAACGCTTGCACACACACAGAGCGCACACTCACACAGGCACAAATGGATTTTCTATCTCAGCCGCCTTTTCCCCCACCCGGAGAAATAAACATGTGAAGAAACAAAGCGATCAGGCAGTCATTTTTAGGCGGCACTGTTCCATAAAGGTAAAGTCTTGGGATGGGTTTAAGTGGCTGCATTGCATTCCAAAGACTCAATTCTCTTGCTCTCTCTTTTGCTAGCTCCAAGGGTGCGCAGGTTTCTCCTGAGGACAAAACGTTGCTGAGATTCTCCTCTTGCTGGTCGCCCTGGAATTAACCATGCTAAGTAACCTTTCACCTCTCACGCCAGGTCTAATACTTGCAGGCTGAGACACATTTCTTATCAAGATGAGATGCTTCAGACCTGTTGCTTAAGGCGCTGGAGGCTTACTATTTTCCTTTGTTTTGCAAGGCTACTTTCACCCAAGCATCAGTGCTAATAGGGAAGAGAAAACCCACGAAGCCTACAGATGAGACTGTTCTGAAAATCTTCCGTTCTGTTGCTTTGAATCTGCACGAATATCTGGTATGCAGCATTCATTTGCACACTGTGTATCTGAGCGAAAGATTTCTTAAAAAAAAAAAAAAAGTAAAATCTGCTTGCCATGTGGTCCCCTCCCCCCTTCTTAAAACATCTAACTTAGAAATATTGAATATTATATCGCGCACCTAGAACTGCCAGGGGAATTGCTTCATCGCGCCTAATAGGCAATTGGAAGAATGTGTTTTGTGGGAAAGCTCCCATTGGTTCAACAAACCTGAGAGATTCTGAGTTTTAGCTAGTTTTAATCCCCCCCCCTTTATATTTCTGGATATTGGGATACAATTGGTCCGAACTAAAAACAAAACAGGTTCTCAACAAATGCTGCCTTTTAAAAACAAATACTTTCCGGTGCATTGCAAGGAGAAGGTCTCGAAGTTGCTTTGCTTAAATGATTGAGCCACAAAGATTGTTTTTAAGTACCATACTTCTCCATCTCGACAATCATTTTAATATATAGTCAATGGCTCTTTGTAACAGGAACAAAGGCGAACTATTCGCAGTTCTTCAATAGACTTTAGTTGGGGGAAAGGCAGGTTAATCGAGGGGTTGCATCTAGAAAACAAGCAAGTGTTGTATGTTTGCACTGAATCCAAATGTCTGCATTTTCCTAACTAAATCAAAGGGAGTGTTATTTCTTTTTCTGCTCACTCATCTGAAGGTAAGTAAATTTTCTCTGGCGATCACAAGCTTGGTCAGCAACAAAGGCGCCGCCTGCTTTTTCCACCGTCCTGGTGTGGCAAGTTGAGGAATTTCAATAAATGTGACAAGGGTGACTGATTTGTGAACTAGAAACGGTTGAGCGTCAGAAAATTTATACTGCTCCTATCTAGAGAGGATTTCAAATACATTATAAAACCCCAGGATCCAAGAAGTTCATGCAGCATAGAAGAGACAAAAGCAACTTTGGGAAAATTTACAGGTTTTTTTTTTTTAATCCTGAATTAAAGAGTTCGGGTTAAAAAAAGTGGAAAGGAGAGGGGGGAAGAAAAACAAAGTAAGTATGAAAAAGGAGACAACACCACCACTACACAAAAAAGCAAAAGCAAAAACAAAAACAAACTGAAGCGCTCTCACCCACCTGCCTTTTGATGGGTGTTACATATTGTTTTCTAGAAAAAGAATGATGGAACGCATTACTGTCGTTTTTCCACTGATATCACGCTTGTTGTTTTAAAACAAGATCTATACAAGTCAGCACAAACTTTGGGGAGAGCCTTAGAGGTCAAAGAAAGAAGTAAACGCAAGTGGAAAAGGAGCAAATCACAAAAGGATTTCCATGCTCAAGCCCCTTAAAAAGTTGTTGAGTGTTGTTCAAAGGTCTTGAGCGCCAACCCATGAGTACCTTCGAAAGAAAAAAGTAAGACGTAGCACAGGAGGGACACCTACATCTTTATCTCCAGAACAAAGCTGGAGAAAAGAGACCATTGGAAATATTTTCCAGCAGAAAAACTATATATTTTATATGTTTATTGTATAAAAAGTTGCTACTCCTGTACGAGCTGTTTGTCAAACGCGATGTCACTCGGCTTCACAATACCTGGGATTGATGAGAGGAGAGAACCAATCAGGAGAAAACAGAGGTTTTGTGCACCCTTAATTGGAGAGGAAGGAGGGAGTTGCAAGCGAAAGTAGGAACGGCGAGGCACCAATGATCTGCGACGTCGGCCTTCACGTAGCTCCTCCCCTTCTCCCATTCATGGGGGAGGGGGACGGTGTCGTCTTTTCAATTCATTTATCTGCAGGAATGATTGCCGCTATCAGTCTCGCGTTCACCGCCCGGCTGAGGAGGTGAAAGTTTCTCCCCAGGAAGATAAACCGCAAAAGACAATATTGTGCATGATTTGCGCCGTTTTTTTTTAAAACAAAGCAGGGGGAAAAAGGAAAGTGAAGGGGGGAAAAGCCAAAGGAGGGGAAAAAAGAGACGGGGGGGGGGGGGGG